GTTCACATTTTTATCGCTTTCTTTTTGTTTATCTTGTGAAATGATTGATTTGCGTGTGTTGTGCCAGCGCAATAGAGTATTTCGCGAAAGAAAACACATGTTTGCAAGCCTTTTTATGTTATAATAAATAAGAAATAACGAAATAAGAAGCGACCAAAATGTAAACAAACGACGGACCTATTCTTTCCTCCGATACTTCTCAAATTTTGTCTCAGAATTGTCTGAGACCTTTCGTGGATACGGGCCCAGCGTCGTATGATGATGACCGTTAAGGTTAGTTTTTTTGGGGGGAAAAACATTGCCTACAACAGTTTTTTTTAATTACTTAATGAATCAAATCAAACTTTTCGAGAGTGGCAAACTCATCTTCAGTGACCCGAAAATAAAACAAAGAATTTCATACTATGTAGTTACAATACAAAAATACATTTATTCTAACAAAAAGGACAAATGAAAGCATAACAAGAATTAACTGCAATATTACAATTCAAACTCTGAGAATAATATGGCAAATGTTAAATCAAATAGACTAATAATTAATACACAAGGAATATATCACTTGCCCCAATATCACCTATCAAATCATAAAATCAAATCAATAGACATATTACACAGAAAGGGTTATCCTTAAACCAACAAAACTAAGATATTTCAAAGTTTAAAATAACATACACAAGGAATCCACAAGAGAATCATCAACACTGAACAGTTAATTCTACAAAAAACGTGAAGGAAAACCTGAATGATTTGAATAATTAAGCCAATGAAGTGAAAAACTACTAAGATTGCATACACAACATTCAAAACTACTGTCAGTTTCAAATACCATTCATGACTTGACACTCTCATCACTCTGTTTCAGGCCTTGTCGCTGCACCTTCAGACTCATGGATAATTCAGTTCAACCAGAGACATTCAGACGGTCACACAGACGTGCATTAACACACACCCACACGCGCGCACTTTCCCTCATATGCGTCCCCACACGCAGACACTCGAACCTCAGTACCTGAAGCCCAGAATATTTACACGAGGCCGGATGTTCCCTGTGTATTATCATCGGTCACAGATCAACCGGACGGCACGAGTCGAGCATTACTGGCTGAAGCTTGGCGTTGGTGAACCGTAGAGTTTTGTGCAAACAATAGTAATTGCAAGCCCCTACTTTATATAATAATCTATTGTTACACTATATCACTGCTAACATATTACACATCTGTTCATGTTTACTTTTTAATAAGAAGCAAGAATTTGAATTATTAATAAATATACTACATGTTTTTTTGAGATGTATCAAAATGCAGATAGATGAATAAACACTTTCGAAGCATAGGCATAGACGCCAAACATTCGAATTTGTATACATTTTGATAGGCAGCAAAGAATCCTTCGAATAAAGCTCCACAAATACTGTAACGTAAGCCATTCAAATCTAAGTTACAATATAATCTTATTATATTTCATACATGTACAGAAACCGTCGTGCCACTGTTTTTATTCAAGCGGTACGATACTTAGACCCGATAGATTTTCGTACGCCCGACAGCACCAATGATCCACTGACTGACTTTACCTTTAAAGTAAAAGTTAAAGAGAGCAATGCGCGGTGATACTGGGAAATGGATACTGCCATCTCATACAGCGGAATAAATAGAGTAGGATACAGCATAATTTAACCTGCAGTGGCCTCATAATCACTGGTAAATGACGAAAATATACCTTGTTTTCACCGCTCAGTTTCGAACTCCCGCATCTGGTTTACCTTGCGAAGAATAACAACATTGACCGCTTTATTCATTACTGCGATGTCCGAATTGTAATTCATATGTTAATACCCGCCTGTCAAAAAAAAAAAAAAAAAAAAAAAAAAAAAAACATTTGGCTAATTATCAGTCTGCTGTTACACAGTTATGCTTTTAAAGTCTTTTATTAATGTTATTATACTTCATTTATATATTTAAAGATTTTTTTCTGTACCCTTATTTAGAATTATTATAATTATGTTTCACACTTTCATTTGCTAGCTGCCAGTTCTGAGCCGGTCATATTGAGGTTGACAGCCGGTGATAAATATTGCGTTTCTTGTGTAGTGTTGATTCCATGTTATTCTTAAGACTATGCAATGACAACGAAGAAGAAATAAGGCTTTAGTAACTATCCCAGTTTAATTTCTGGGCCCATCAAGAGATCCAAATGCCGAAAAAGGTAATTAAAATTGAAGCAATCCAGACAGTAAAAAGCAGCAAACGAAAGTTTTACGTTTCCAGATATAAAGGTACTTGGTTTATTATTTTACGGTGTGAACGCAGCTCTATCTTGCCGTACATACCGAGGTGAAGAGAATGTGTCCTGAGGGATGTTGGGGGTGGAGCACCCCATCAACCCTCCCCTCAGGCAGTGCCCAAAGGGCACGCCTAGTTACGGCAACTTAAATTGTTATATTAGGCCGGTTTATTGGTCAATACGTTTTCAAGGGTGTTGGAACGTGTGAATTCCCGTAGAGTTTTCCGAAATGGGGTTCGGTTCCCGTAGAGTTTTTTTAATTTTGGCGCGTCAGTCCGTAGAATTTCAGAGATGATGGTTACGTCCGTCGAGTTTCATTGGCCGATTTTAAGCGTTTTTAGTGCTAGTTTTACGCATTTTTGATAGTTATTTTTATCTAAGCCTGTTTTACC